GAAACAGTGTCAGCATGAATGTTCCGGTAAAGCCAATCGACAGCTGGTGAAGAGGAATCCGCCGTCTTCTTCTGGTGGAATCGACCTTGAAATCTCTTAACCAAACACCATCACTCGAAATAAAAGTAAGCTCAACAATTATGAAACAATACATTATTCGAAACCCAACTTTTCCTCGCACATTATTTCTCTAGCCCTTATTCAAACTAATAACATCATCCGAAAGGAGAAAGTACAAAAGGTTGGCGGTTATCAAATACTCTGATACGTTCTGTCTGATGCCGTTCTTCTACAATTTCATGAAAAACTAGCTTGATCATCATTTAATTTTCATATATAAGTATAGTTTCGAGATGTCTCATCATTTAATAGAAATAAACAAGACTTCTAAGATTTTCCCAAAGAGTCAACGTAATTTCACCTTCTAATTCGTACAGAAAGTTGGGTAAGGAGGAATTAGGCTCATACGAATCCTAAGGAGTACTCTTTAGCAATGTAGACAATATATTTGCGCAAATAGATCTTGAGGCTTCTATCCATTAATGCTGAATTTTCGTCAATTTGAACATGATAAATGTTGTCAGAGCGTTATGTTATTATTTCCATCGATTTATATGGTTTTCAGAACTATCAAATCATTTAAAGTCCTTTGACCTCTTTTTTTCAACTTTGTAGGTAAACGAAGGAGTGAGAGTTCTGGCTTGATCCCACCTAAGTTTACACACATATCTATTGCCTTAAGTAGCTAACTCATCTTATTTTTGATTATATTCATTTAATTAACGGTGTCCGAATTGCACTTCCTCATGAAGTTGCTGAAACTAGGGGAGAAACCATATCGTTTGCAACAGTTTAAAAAGGTCAAGTAGCATGATTAACTTACAATAATCTTCTTTGTCCGATTGTAATAAATGCTTGGAAATCTTTATTGATTAGTTCAATCGGATGTATTTTGGTCGCAGCCTCCTTTCGCAGCATATAAGTGTTGTCAAAGGAACCTAAATAATGCACCATGTCCGAAGTCCTCAGACCTAGTATCCAAGAGAATTTTCAGCTTCGGACAGTGGACTTGCAGTATTAAATACAAAGTATAACTCTTCACAGAGACAGTGAAGTCCATTCTATGACCAACTTTATGGCCAGTTGTTATGATATATCTCCTTCCGTCTAAGCATATTCACCTATCCCATCTCCTCTCTTTTCACACTTCACCTGATACTGTTCAGTCTGCAACCTGCTTAATCCAAGTTTCATTCGAGTCTTTCTCGTACTCTGAAAGATCCGACCAGTATTTTAAGTCATTTATGCCATTAGAACTATTTAAAGAGTTGCAATGGCTAGAATTTCTCTCCTTAATTTTGCAACCATATGAAAAAGTACCATACGAAAACAGCCGATGGAAACATTTCTCATGCCACCCTACATAAAGTAGGGATGACAATGGTGCTAAGAGGATTAAACTATTTAGGAAGTGGGTTTTCGCAACTTGGTATTGTTTTCAGAGCTACTTAGTTGAACGCACCTTGTCCGAAGTGCTCTGCCGCAATAGATATCATAGTTCCCAGCATCAGAATCTGGACTTAGTACATTCTCAGTTATTTCGCCGGCCTCGTAGTTAGCATCATCAGTGAGTCTTGCCAGTCACGGCACTAAGCTATAAACGCGTCAGAGACAAGAGAAGTCAAACCCTCGACCAACGTTCTGCCGAAACGGTTACATTATCTCTCCTGTCCTGGCCCAGCTATCTACTCCTTACCCTCTTATCCCGTTCCCACCCTATCACAACTTCTGACTTGCTTACATTCCAATCGTCAAAATATGTGCAATTTTCTGGCAAGTTTTGTATG